ATACAATACCATGTTAGAACACTCCACATAAAATCAAATACTTAAGGCATAAAATTTAACATAATAGATGCAGAACATGTATGCTGAAAACTTCAATATACTGATAAAAGAAATCAAGGAGATCTAAATAAATACCATGTTCATGGATCAGCAGACACAACATAGCAAAGATGCCATTTCTCCACAAACTGATCTAAGAATTAATGCAATTCCTTTCAAACTCCCAATAAGATTATTTGTAAATATAGACAAGATTATCAATTAAAATTGAAATAAAGGGTTGGGAATGTGGCTTAATGGTAGACGGCTTGCCTACCACGTGTGAGGTACTAGGTTTTATCATCAATACCACACACACACACACACACACACACACACACACACAATTAAGATGAAAAGACAAGCTTCACAGTGGGAGAAAATATCTTTATATAATTGTTTCACCAGTAAAGGACTTGAATGCAGAATAGATATAGAGGTCTCTAAACTCAAAAGTATGAAAACAATTCAATTAGAAAAGAGGCAAAAGATGGACATGATGGTACATACTTATAAGCCAGCTAATCAGATGGCTGAGGCAGGAGCATCTTAACTTCAAGGCCAGCCTCAGTAACAAGCAACATGTCTCAAAATAATTTTTTAAAAATATTTATTTCTTTTAGTTGTACACAGTACCTTTGCTTTATTTATTTATTTTTATGTGGTGCTGAGGATCGAATCTTGCACATGCTAGGCAAGCGCTCTACCACTGAGCCACAACTCTAGCCCCTCAAAATAAAATTTTTTAAAGGGCCAGAGATGACATTGCTCAGTGGTAGAGCACTTGCCTAGCATGCACAAAGCCCTGGGTTCAATCTCTGGTACTGCCAAAAAAAAAAAAAAAAAGGTAAAAATCTTGAACAAACTGATATCCCCCACAAAAGATACGTGGATGAGAGATGAACACATGGAAAGCTGTTCAACATCATTAGCTATTAGGAAAATGCAAATTTAATCCATGTGGAGATACCACTATTTACCTACTTGAATGGCTTATATAAAAATACTGAAAATCCCAAGGACTAGAGAGAATGTAGAGAAACTAGAATTCTCATTTCTGGTGAGAATACAAAGTAGTAATAGCTAATTGACAGAATTTTAGCCTTTCAATCTCAGTCTAGTTCCTATCATGGAATGGGATCTTCATTATGTAACCCAATAGCATGCCCTGTTTCCCAAGACTGAAGTCTGAAGATATCCACAGTAGATTTAAGGTAACAGCTACCTATGAACATGAAACTGAATTCAGAAATGCCCATTCCCCTTAAGGGTTTGTGGAGAGGCTTGCCTGGCCTGGAGAGCATATTTCTCCTCTTCTCAGACTCTTCTAATCAATATCAGAAAGTATTTGGAACTGGAACCTGTTCTTTCAAAAACTTCAGTTGAAACAGCCCTTTAAAAGATTCTATTAATTTCAACTTCATTGCTTTAGTTTGTTAAGTCATTTGGTGTTGGGAGCTCATATCAGTTTCCTGTTTTAACCTTTGGCACATGAGAATTAGTTCCCCAAGACCTAGGAAAGATGTCTTTTTTTTTTTTTTTTTTTTAAGAGAAAGAATTTACCATGGTATAATTTGTCTCCCATATTTGACATTCAAGATTCCAAATCCTACCTGGCTAAAGGCCCTTGGCAATACACTATTAACTTTGCTAAAGAAGTTCTGACTCCATCGTATATAGCTTTATAGAGAAAAAATAGATATAGGAAGGAAGGGTGGGGAAGGGTTTTTCATCTGGCACATAGCCTAACTAACTACCCCTCACTCAAGAAGTATTTAGGGGCTGGGGATGTGGCTCAAGTGGTAGCGCGCTCGCCTGACATGCGTGCGTCCTGGGTTCGATCCTCAGCACCACATACAAACAAGTATGTTGTGCCCGCCGATAACTAAAAAATAAATATTTAAAAAATTCTCTCTCTCTCTCTCTCTTTAAAAAA